TCATTTCTCATAAACTTATTATCATTAATTTTTTTATATAACATGTTATTAAGTTACATTTGACTACTGTGTAATAAACTTGTATTTAGGGCAAAAAAATAACTATAATTTTGCATCTGGTGACTAATATCATATGCTTCTAAGAATATTATTTTAACTTTTTCCATAATTTTTGTATTTCAGGAACATGAAACTGTTATTTTGATATACTTAAATAATAAAAGCGTGTATCTGAATCAATTAATGGATACAAATATTTTACAGTTATTTTTAGAAGATATTTGCCATATCGCTTCTAATAACTCATAAAGTATGTTAAAATATAGGTGAATAATTTGGTGCAGAATTCAAATTTAGGGTTTAAATATAGTGAATCATAAGACTAAATGATTTTTATTGTCATGATTTGCCTGGGCTTAAGAATGTACTTTTCGCCCGGTGGAAATTGTCATCAAACTGTCCTGAACAGGCTTTTTGTTGATAATAACTTCCAGGCTTATCAGTACCTCCTTTTGGTGTGTGCGTATTTAATTATGGCAAAACTCACTAGGGCTATCTGCCTAAGGGGAGGGATGCCTTCGTGGAGGACTTTCTAAGGGAAACTGGCTCGTATACACGTTACACATGGGGAAAACCACGAAAACACCCATGCACCCAGCCCGTTCAGTACCTCCTTTTGAGTGGAGGGTATGCAAATATAGTACCCAATTTAAATTACATTGTGATTGTAATAATATTGTGGTATTAAATAAGTGATTATAATTACAATTTATTTAATGGCATTGTAATTATATTACATTGTATGTGTGAACTCTTAATTTCATTACTTTATGCAATTATGTTGTAAGTGCATAATCTAATTGCAATAATATAATCTATTCACAATTACAAAATAATTATAAATGCAGTTACATCTTAAATAGAGGCCATTTTAATACTTTTAAGTTTTCGCAAGATAACTTCCCATTAAGGTTCATTTGGAGGAAACTATGCAAATACTAATAAAGAAGTTATGCTAAATTTACATATTTTGTACAGTACTTTCTTGTTATAATGCTGTTCAATATATCTTCAATACTTTTGTAAATTTAACGACATTCTTTGCAATCACTGTGGTGCTTTAAAAAGAAGTTTCTTAGTTATGCTTTCTAATAAGAATGGGTTTAAAATTAAGTATTACGTATAATAACTAGCAGTTAAAAAAACATGACTGCATGAAAATGCTGTTGCTGTGTAAAATAAAAAATAAGCTTTCTTTTATGCTTTGAAATGAATTACATGTGCTTAAGTCGTCCTTTCACAATTTAAGAATGTGGTTAACACACATTCTTAAATTGGACAGGTTTTATCTAAATTATTATTATAAAATATATAAACTATGAATTATTTTGTAACATAACTCAAATTACAAAATTCATTCTATATATGTTCAAAGTTATTATCTTTTATGGAATAACTTTTTTAATTTAGGTAAAAATTGGATTTTTATAAGTATTACAAATACAGTGCAACACAAAAGTGATCTGATTGGAGAGGAAGAAGGACTTTTTATTACGGTTTCTAGTTCGTATTTATATTACATTTGGGGAAAAGCATCCAAAACACAGAATGCTGTACTTTCTTCTTCCATATATGTTATGAAATATTTCACACATTTAAAAGAAAGTGTTTCTTCAGAGTCTTCCACAATTATTTCCATATACTTCAGACTTAAAGACAACATATTCTTAAGTTATTTATTTAGTATTAATTTACAGTGTTTTTATGGAAATTTTTGTTAAAATATCATTAAGATAAATTTATTTGCACACTCTACGCTTTAACTATTTCCCCATTTGACACTATTGAAAGTTTTTATTCATATCTTATTTATTTTAGTCTGCTAACGAAACTGAAACATCTAAAGAATAAGTTATTTTGAATATGTTTACAAAATATACGCGAAATTTTTATTTAAGTGAAAACGTCTATATACTATTCGAGAATTAATAAATTATCCGAAACGTTTATATGCGCTGAATGCCGCGCGTCTATAAAATAAATCTTTAAAAAAACAGCAGACATTCAGCCAGCGTGTGCGATAAACGCACCAAAATTGGCAGCGCGTTCACTCCCTCGCCAAGAGAGAAAAGTTGGTGATTCAGCCTGGTTTAGAGGAGCTTGTTTTATCACGTTGTTGCCGACTGTTTGTTGCCGGAACAAAGCGTTTGCAGCTACAGTTCTGAGAAACGGCCTTTGGCGAAATAAGGTTACCATCTTCACCGGCAAACAGGCTGAAAGCCAAACAAGAATCATTTATCGCTCAGATTGGCGAAAGTAACGTTTCCTTTCAAGTGACATTCGCTTCTTCGGTTGTTTTGTATCGCTCACACGCTTTTCGTTTTAAACTTTATTGTTAGTAATGGAAGATAATAGAAAGGTGATTGCTATCAAGTTAATCACTTTGATCTCCACTCTGGCACTTCATGTAAGAAAATAAACACACTTCTGGTTCAATTACATCAGTAATAGCCAAATTCTGTATACACCTAAGAATAGTTTAAAAACATGTGCTGGATAAGTCTATTTATCACACATCGCTTATGAGTATTTCCTGTTGTCTGCATTTCAATGAAAATTTGATGGCTCACTGGAAAATTTGTGACCTGGTGAAAGCATTTTCTGACTAACTTTATGGCTCATAATTACTGTTCTGTCCATTCAAATGACAAAAATCTATATGGCTGATATTTACCTCCTCAGAACCAACAGATACTATTCAGCAAAATGAAGATCAAATAAAGCATATGAATACATGAGCAATCAAACATGTGCGAGTTGTTTACTGTCCCATAGAACACTCGGTAATATACCTAAAACACATTAATTATACCTACTCTAGAAATTAGGTGTTCACATCATGAGTTTGTTTTATGGTTTAGTTTATTGAGATTACAGCAAAGCACACTAGGGCTATCTGCCTAAGGGAAGGGATGCCTTCGTGGAGGACTTTCTAAGGGAAACTGGCTCGTGTACACGTTACACATGGGGAAAACCACGAAAGCGTCCATGCAGCCAGCCCGTTCGCAGGATTCGAACCTCGGACCGAACTACCAGTGTTCATCGACTTTACCGCTCGGCCGCTGGTGGGCTCAGTTGGCTTTATGTGATTACCGCAAAGCCTCGAGGGATAACAACAAGAGGGATCCCTTTGTAGAAGATTTTTTAAAACTGGCTCGTATACCAGTTACAAATGGGGCGAACCAAGGAAACGTCATGTAGCCAGCCCGTTCGCGGCATTCTAACCTGAGGCAGAATTACCAGTGTTCAACGACGCTTCGGCCACTAGTAGGCCCGTGCACTTAATTGGAAAGTGCAATTCATTATGTAAACAGACATGAAGGTGATAATCAGTTGTGCACTTTTTTAAGTAATCAAATGTTATAAATGCACAGCTGTTGCATTTCTTATTATTTATTAGTCATGTTTTTATTACGTATGATATAATTATGAATTAACCCAATAACAAAATGTGTACACTCTTTAGTACTCAAATACTCATCAATTATTTTTCAACTGATTATTACATACCCATAATAATTTGCAAAGAACTGATAACTATAGTTGCTGCCAATTACATAATCATTATCTGAATTAAAAGTAACTTCAAATAAACTTCTTGGCAATATTCATTTTTGTATTCATACATACACATCTAATAAGTCATATATTTACATACAGATAGAGAGATGCGATGTTTTAGAAGTTGTTAATATATATTTATTAGTATTAATGTAATGAATAAGATTTATATTAATGAATGTATATACAAATGTTTTTCATCATGCATAATAATAAATCCATAAATTTCTAATGTTTCAATATGTAGCATTTACAATAAAAGTATAGTTTCTAATGTATTTATAATTCAAAAAGTATTTCATTAATGACATGAAAATAATAGACAAATTTAATGAGTATTCTCATTATTACATAAGCTATGCTTTTCTCTTTTATGCATCTTTTATGCTGTTTAAAATGTGTCACTGATTATGCAGTAAACAATTTAAAAGATAAGTAATTAGAAGAAAAGCCGCGCATATACAAACGGATTTTAAAAAATTATTCAACTAAAATTTAAGAAATAAAATTCTATTATATAACAGTGTTATAATACACGATCAGCACGAAATACGACAAATTTGGCGAACTTTTGGCTACGAACAATTTGTAAGCAAATCCGAACTGCAAAAACGTCGTAAAATACTGTCAACTCTGAAATTTCCACGATTATATATTTAATGAATATATACACATTTAAAAAATGACTCAGGCAGTTGTATTACAACAAAACAGCAATAATTAAATCGGCCTCTATTTCCACCGTCCATCACTTCACACTGAGAGCCATCGCCATATTGAAAGTTACCCGTGATCCTTCAGAAGCTGACCTTTCGTCTGATTGATTGAATGTTCGAGGAACACGTCTCCAGCCGGAACATTTTGGGAAAAGTTTTAAAATGTTCTTCCTAGCTAGACGAAACATTTCTCGGAATTATCCTGGGTAAGCGCGCGCGTCTATAGATGCGATAACAGCATAGTTTACGTGTATGTACGATTTTGAAAAACGCGGCAAGGAGTTTGCGATTCTGCACTTTTCCCAATTTTGCAGTTAATATTTGTCATGATTAAGCAGTTTTGTTACATAAAATTTCTAGCATAAGTGTAATTCGGCTAGTAGATTGTTGGAAAAAGTGTTCAGTAAATAAAAAGAAAAGAAACATGTCTTTACTTCGTGAAGAGAAATTGGCGGCGAAAAAAAAAAAAAAATAGAGGGTTGCTGTAGCAGAGTTGGTCGCCAAATTTTCGCCAAAAAATCGTCAAGCTACCATAACCCAAAGATTAACCATTTTTTTTTTTTGGTTGCACGTGTACGCCAAATATAAAAATAAAATGGATACATGCAATTTTGAAGGCGATGATTGGGTAAATGACAAATCTATTTATTATTATTATTATTGTGTGTTATTTTTCAAAAATACCTGAATTTTAGTGAGTTTTAAAGAAATTTTTTTTTTAGCTTTTAACGTGTATAAAACTGGATTCATTTATTTGTGTGAATTTTCTTGTTATTTTAAATTGCAAAATATCTAGTCCAGGGTTAGAAAAAAATCAAGAATACTGTCTTTACTGTTCGCACATATAAGCAACTGGCTTAGCTTATTTAGAACTTTTTTTTTCCTGGTAGAAATTTTCTGGCTTCTGTCTAATGCTTTTTTAACATTGACTCAAAATAGTCTTCCTTCTTATTGGCTTGAGTTTACTGCCATATCAACTTGATGAGATATGAATCAAGATAATGATGGGCTTTGGCCCTCTTTTTTTTTTTTTTTTTTTTTTCCAACTGTGCTTTTGGCAGAGTCCCGTGTTCATTCTGTATTTTGGGTGTGATGGATGTTTCGGGATCTATAAACTTACGCTTATGTTTCATTGTATTATACAGAATTTTAGCTTTTTCTAGTTCTGATTTGATAGCCTAGCAATCAGAATACAATTTATTTCTTTTTTGATAATTTTCTCGATTAAAGTAGAGGCACTTTTGTCAGGCAAAACAGTAAAAATGTTTATTTTATCTCATAGAATATCCCTCCGAAAACACATTTTATAGGCAGTAAATGTTGAGTATTATTTTTTTTGACAAAGAAACTTTCGCAAACTTCTATCACATGTCCTTTATGATCTATTTTCTTTTCTTCACCCATTTTCTAAAACCCATATTTCTTGCATGTAACTAATTCAATCATGCATGTAATTTGTTAACCAATAGGTAATTTCATTGGATCCAAATTTTTACATATGACAATGTCCGGCAAAATGCCATATTTTTGAAGTATTTGAATGGCATCGTTTTGTTTGTAGGTAAATCACAAATATTCATATTTAGAAAATTTTACTTAAGCTAAAATGTATTATTAAATTGAGTATAATAATGAGTGAGTATAATAGAATGCTTTCAAAAATCTCAAAGAGCATTCAGGGTAGGCCACATTGATGCCTTTCATGTATTAGCTTGAAAAATTAATTGCCAGTGACTTTGCAAATTATCTCCAAAGTGGGCAACGAGTTTATGACTTTTTTTGCAGGGTTGTGGGTAGTCAGAAAGTGCAAAAAAAATTTAGTTCTAAACATATAAACATTCTTTGAAACGCATGTGACTGTTATAAAAGTAAAATTTAAATATTTCAAGAAATTATCTTATGTTATTGGCAAGTTTTAGGGAGCTGCTTTTTTTTTTTCTCAAACTGATTTTACACTTTTATTAAATATTAGATTATGCTTTATAATAATACATATTGTGAACATTTCTCGGTCATTCATAGAATTGTATTATTTGGGTGAAATCAGTTGTACATGTATTTTCTGTAATTTATTCAATTATTAATTGTTGATAAACCCTTAATTTTATTGATAGTCCTCAAAGGGCAAGATTAAACTATTTTTAACTCATAATCATCAGCATGGGAATTTCAGTTAATTATAGATTGTTTACAAAATGTTATATTTTTAATGAATAATTAAAAGGCATTTAATTCTAAATAATATGGATCCGCGGTAACTGTCTTCCCAGCATTGTGTAGAAATATACATACTTAGGATTTCTAAGTAAATAATTGTAGCTGGTAGAAAAAATAATTTTATTTTCCATCCGAGACAAACATGATTAATTACAGTGTGACTTCAGTCTTCAGTAATATTATTAATTAAGAATTAATCCTTTATTAAATATGATATATTTTAAATAAATAATTAAAAGAAAGGAGAAATTAGTAGGATGGATAGTTTATTAGAATGGATTTTATTAGAATGGATAGTTTCAGTAGGCTCTTATATCAAGATTGATTTTTAAGTTTAGAAGTTTCAGAGCCCTGTGGAAGGCTACTAGGAAAGATGAGGGAAATAAATGATTAAAATAACTAATTAAAATTAAAATTCAATCTTATGTGAATAAATAAATGACAATTAACTAAATTAACAATAAATAGTTAAATAATGAAATGAAATATCAGATCTCATCATATTTGGGGCCCTAACTGGAATTGAAACGTCACTCAAAAACCAAGACATAGAGATAAGTATATTATACTAGTAGTAATGTACTACTACAAAGATCATTCTTTTTCCTTCGCATTAATGAAAAATGGGTAAAATGGTTATAAAGCAGTACTAATGAGAACAGACAGAATGATAGAAAACGTATGTAAAAAATGTTATTGAAGAAGTTCAAGTTAAAAAAAAGGGAAGAAGAATCTAATCCTTTCTGACTGTAGTCTCTTTCTGATATAATTCTACCTGTTAAGGAAGATGTGATAGGGAAAAAATTTTCCCTATACATTTAGAGTTTACCTGAAAGCTGAGAACAAATGTAAGATTCTGTATAAAAGGACCATCCTCCATGTTTGGTTACATCATTTCAAAAGTCTGCAGGTGCTCTTTTTAGCAGGAATTCTCTAATACTGAATGTGTCTGAGCTGTTTGTCCATTGTAAATTGCAACATATTTTGGTATATATAAACAAGGGTTGGTACTTACACATTAGCATAACCACCATATAAGAAATCAGCAAATTTTCAGAATGTGCCAAGCTCTGGCTGCCAAGTCATAACAGTTCTTCAGTCTTAGTAAACAGCATTGCCATTTTCATTATTCTTTTTGCACTATCCCATGTTACAACAATTTTTGTAGCAAAATCATGAAGTTTCTTTTTTTTTTTTTTTTTTTTTTTTTTTAACTCAGTTTTAATATATATGCTGATAAGATTTGCATGCAAAATTTCTGCAGGAATTTCATTGCAAAATCATAAAAGGAAAAATTGCTTTGAATTTTGTCTTAAAGCAATCACCATATCTCATCACAATTAAAAAAAAAAAAAAAAAAAAAAACTCGTTTGTTGGTTTACTGATCGATTTTTCCTTTAAATATAATGTAGAATATATATGCATGCAATTAATAAAATTTGCAATTATAAATCACCATTCCTTTTCGTTTAATAAAAAATCAAGAAACTTTACCAAGGTGGTTGTGTTATCCCCTTTCGTGTTTGTTCTGTTGTAAATTTTGAGTAACTGGAGATATTAATATATTTTGTAGATTCATGGCCTGGATACTTGTAATAATGTTTGCAGATCAGGCTAAATTTTAGCAGCATCTAAACACTATAGCAAGCAAAATTTTAGCCTATATACTGCAATGCACTTGCCAAAATGATTTTCATGGTTTAAAGAATATGATTTGAGAGAAATGGTGAAATCATAAAAACTTTTTTGAAATTGCCCATGGTGTTCATTAATTGCAGTTGACTTTGCTTAGTAGAAAAATATAGGGGGAATAATATTACTAATCATTTTTAGTTTTAAAAACATAATTTCTTGCAAATTTATCTATTTATTAAGCAAAATGTAACCTTGGTTTTTCTTTTTTTATTTTAAGGGAATTTATAGAAATGTTGAAGAAAGTGAAACTGTAGGGTAAGTAAACGTAATATTCTTTTCATATTGAAGTAAATTAATTCTGGATAAACATTGCTATATATATTAATATATAACTTAATTAATATACATAACCAAACTGCAGCTGTCAGTCCTCTTAACTGCAGCCTGTGAACCACATGACGCTCTTTAGCCCTTAATTGCAACATCCTTCATTCACCTCAACTGCAATATAGCAAGCAAAAATTTTATTTTTGAAGTACACTTGTATTTTGAAACAAAAATTGTGTAAGGATATGCTTTTTTTTATTAATTACAAGAATAATTTAATTTTATTAATATAGCTTAAACTATTTTACTAGTAAAAAAAAAAAGGGAATATTTTTATGTGAGTTGCAATAGTAGTTATGTTTAGTTTTAAAGCAAATAATGATCACAGAGCCAAATGTGAAAGTCATTTAAAACATAATGCATTTTAATGCTTTCCCCTCTGGGGTATTGTTATCAAGCTATTGGTACAGTAATTAAATCAGCATGTTTCCCAACCAACAATGACACAAAGTTGAAAACTTAAAATAATCTCATAAAAACAGTTGGCTAATCTTTGGAATATGGTAACAGGTAGTTTGATGACATTTTGGTAAGGCGATAAAGGTTACTAGCTAGGACTTTAGCAGTGTACATGGATAAAGCCAAGAGTGTGTGCAATGCCATTTTTGTGCAATTCTGGGATGGCTTTTTAAGTGAAAATAGGTCGACGTGTACATGGATACCATGTATGTGCAATTCTTGAAAACGCGGCAAGCAGTGACTCTGCACTTTCTCCCAATTTCGCACCTAATCTTCGTCATGATTAAGCACTTTTGTTCCATAAAAGTTCTAGCATAAGCATAATTCGGCTAGCAGGTTGGTAAAAAAAAAATGTTGAGTTAAAAAAAAAAAAAAAAAAACCTTTACTTTGTGAAAACAAAATGGCGTCAAAAAAAAAAAAAAAAAAAAAAAAAAAAACTAGCAGGTTGCTGTAGCAGGGTTGGTTGCCAAAAAATCGCCAAGTTACCATAATCCGAAGATTAACCAAACAGTTTAAGTAATCTGTGTCTTTATCAGTCTAATCCTTATAGGCCGAAAAGTTCATAAAATTTGTTTTCTTTTCAGTTAGACAATTAACCACCATCAAGTAGATAAAAATTTCAATTCGGAATGGACTTTCAAAGCCAAAATCTAGTATTAATCCATTTAAGATTAATTAAATTTATAAACTACAGAGATGATCTTCCCAGAAAATTTAAAAAAACTTATTTTAATTTGAAAACTGTTGTAACATACTAAGTTACTATTCAGATAAAGATACATTATAAAAAAAATTAATTAAATCAATTATTGCTGATTTCATGAAAAAAAAAGGCTGACTTTTCAAAGTGTATTAGCTTTTTTTGATAAAATCACCAACAGTTAAGGAAATTTGAATCGTGTTTCGTCTTCCCAATCTAGTTGAGTGTAAATTCGATTTAAGGATCTAAATGAAGCTTTTAGCTCAATTTAATTCCCAAGCAGATTAGAAAAATACCTTGACACAATTCTGGTGCCTAAAAAAATACTGTAAAAATATTGGTAAAACATCTGGATTTAAAAGAATATGCAATAAATCAAAAAATAAAAAGTAACTTCAAAATATAAACCTAAATAAACGTATTTATAAAAATGTTTTACAATAAAGGGAAATATAGGAGTTTCATTTTTAGATTGTGACTAGGAAGTTTGGTTTTAAGTTTTTCCTTTAAAAATCTTAACTGTAATGTAGATTAGCTCTCTCTTTACTTTTATTTTTGTCTCATATTATGTATTTTGTCTCATTTATATATTTTGTCATCATTATATTGTATGAAGAGTCATGCACATAATAAAAGAATTATTATATAAAGATATATTTATAAAATTTATACTTTGCAGTTACTTTATTTAAAACTGTTGTCTTGGATGTGACGAAAATATATTTTATCAATCGGATGTTACAAATCAAAGCAGACAATAATTATTTTTCTGTTTTCTGTAAATAGAATTGATTCAGTTTCATCAGGTAGTTCTTCTGATGTGGTACATAATGAGCCTAGCCGAACAGGTGTTAAGGATTTCAAAATTCTGTCATTTTAGGGAAAGGAGGCTTTGGTAAAGTAAGTGTTGCTTTTTTAATTTTTATTTTTCATTTAAGAAAGTAACTAAATATTTATTTACATTTTTGCACTTAAGATATGCAATTCTATATTTTACTCATTTAACCGTAAAGTTATCTGTTCTCTTAATTGATTTTTAATAATTTGATATGCTTTAAAGTAATCAATTAAAAAGAATTTGAGAAGTTTTCTGTAATTTTATTTGTATGTATTGACAATATTTAGTTATTGCAGTTAGTTTGATTTGTGAATTGTATATCGGTTTTTTAATTTGATATTTTAAACGTATACAAATCTGATTTACAAAAGGGCATTTCTGTAGCTATGTATCTGTTTAATATTAATTCTAACTGATATAGGGAATTTCAGGTTTTTCTGGTTCGAAAAATAGCTGGTCAGAACTCCGAAAAAGTATTTGCTATGAAGATTGTGGATAAGGTATACTTGTTTCTGTTTGCTTTACTTAATTTTTTTGTGAATAAGGTATACTTGTTTCTGTTTGCTTTACTTAAATTTTTATGAATAAGGTATACTTGTTTCTGTTTGCTTTACTTAATTTTAACATGTTCTCTTCTGTAATCTTTTGTGTAAAGTCGAAGAATATCATTTTTCTATTTATATTAATGTGATACAGTATTATGAAATTGGCAAGGAAAACATTTAAAGAATTTTTTTTATAATGTTTTATTATTATTAAATTCTTTATCTTATTCTTTATCATAATTTTAATCAAGAATATTCTGCAATTTATAATGCCCAATATAACATGTACCCAAAAAATGATGCAAAATATTAAAGTTAATATTTTTAAAATATGAAACTTATTTACATGCAAACATGAAATATTTTCTAATATCAAATTTAGTTAGTGTAAGTTTTGTTTATAAAATGGTTATCACAAACTATTGTGAGATACAATAATAATTTTGCTTCCATTGTTCTGTTTTGCATTTCTCAAACTTATTCTCAACACTTTTTATACCAGCATCCTCTGAGTACAACCACATCATTCTTCACAGATTCTGTATATACTTCTCAACAGAAAGAATACTATTGGCAGTAGTACTATTGCTCATATTTGTTGTTTAAAACCTAGTCGTAAAAAATAACTATTTGAAATAATGGTATGAAATCATCTAAGCTCAAATTACTTTCAGCAGACCATGTACCTTTCCTTATCTATTATATCTTTCCTTTCACACAATCTTATTTCATTCTTTTCCTTTCTATGTTGGCCATTCTTACTTATTTGTGATAAATTCCTTAATTTTGCATTATCCAGTAACTATTTTGCATCAGTAGATACATTCTGCAGAAATTTGGAATTAAATTTAGAATGAGCCATGGATTGCAAATTATAAACATATAGCAAAAAAATTCCCATATACCAATTAAAAAATTATGGAAAGGCTAAAGGAACATGTGAACAAACCAAATTCTTGCACAGCACAGCTCATCAACAGCTGGATGGATGAAAGCTGCAAACACTGGTAATCAAATTGGATTCACTGTGTTGGTTTCATAAGCATTTTAAGTTTTCCCTGTGTTTAACATGAATACAAGCAAGTTTGCTTTAAAATTGCTTGCTGATGATTTATTTGAATTGACCATTGAAGATTTACATATTTCTTAGAAATTCATAGATTTTTGCTTCCTAGAAGTTTTGCTCAAGCTTCTTAATTTTGCTCATCTTCTCCCTTACTGCCATTCTCAGAGTACAGCAACATTTTAGGAGAATATGGAATTCAAGTCATAGATCTCACTACAGAATTATCATAAATTTGTGCTGGGAATGATGCAGATCAGTCAATTATCCTAGAATGAAAGTTTCTAGGTGCCTAATTGATTATTTTATAAAACTTTCAAAACATGTTATCATTAAGAATGCTGTATATGTACATTGAAGAAAAGAGCTTTTTGGACTTTATTATTCACCTTATGGTCATGCTTCAACTTACTGTGACTTCATAGGTCATCTTTGAATCAAAAAATTCTTCAAGGATAGGGATAAAAGACATGGATAAGGCACTCAAAAAAATCATAAAAATATTCGCCAATATTAGAACAATCTAAATTTAAGGAAAGTCGCATATGAATGCAAAGCGTTCAGTTGTGCCCAGTACCTCTATCAGATTAATTAATGACTTAAATTCCAATAAAATGTATAACAAAATGAAAATATGCTAATGACATCAACACAAATATCTGTGCTTTTAAAGTATCTCTAGAAAAAGAAAACCACGCATGTCAAATCTAGTGATCATAGTAACCAAATAAAAGATCCAGTCTTTCTGATCTACTATGAGCCATAAATAGCATCAAGGTAATATCTGATGTTACTGTTCAATCATGTTGGAACCACATTCATAGGTGAACAGCTGGAGGAATGTAGGAAATAATTTCCTGCAAAAATCATGTAGGAAGTGGATACTGTCATGCAGCTGTTCAGTAAACTAAGTAAAACGTACAGTTCTACTAATTAGTTATGTGCCATACCAGCCAAAACATTAATGGAGAATTTTTCCTGGTAGGCATGGGATCTGATACCATGGGATTATCATGTACCCAAGGATAAGAATTGTGGTTGTTAAACGTGCTTGAACATACAAACATAACCTCATCAGCGACAGTTAAAATTTCCTGTAGGTACCATCAGGCAGAGCTGACTTCCAGAGGATAATCATCCAGTTTCAATGTCTGTATTCTCCAGACACTGGCTGGCTCACATCCAGGACATTTACAACAGCTTTTGTGCTTTTTTTTTTCCTTATTATGTGCTCCGCCCTTAGGCACTATATGAAAAGGTAGGGATGCCCCTTGGAGGTCTTTTTAAGGGAAACTGGCTCATATCCGTGTTACACATGAGGAAAACCACGAAAACACCTATGCAGCCAGCCCGTTCGCCAGGACTTAAACCTTGAACGAACAGATTTTGTGCTTGCAGCAGAATTATCCTCAAAGGTACACTGTCCTCCCCCCGAAAAAAAAAAGAACAGTTCTATGTCTTTTATATCTCCCGTTCTACTGGGCCGATTGACAAAATTCAAATTGCGTTTTTCATGTCTCGAAAGCGCGACTTAGGATATATATTAGATTTATATACAGCATTGTTCTAACATAGGTATTTTGACACAAAAGCGGACTTTTTCTGAAATAACATACCAATTTTTTTTTTCCATATTTCGATTCTACGACTCAAATTATGGCTAGATATTAAATTTTGTAAACTTTGGTGAGGAATTTACGGAGAAATTTAAAAATTTATCTTGGTAGATTTTTTTTCATTTGCGCCAAGAATAATTCACTTGGCAAACTTCTTAACATGTGCAACCAATTTTCCTTTCCCTTCCATTATGCCGGAGCTGGAATTCACTTGGCAAACTTCTTAACATGTGCAACCAATTTTCCTTTCCCTTCCATTATGCCAGAGCTGGAAAAAAGGCACCTCGTGCCTACCTATTTACATTGTGCGTGAGCAGAAAAAAA